ATTTTGATTTGGAATTAAATTTATAAACTATCATTACTATTTTTTTATAGTTTATAATTTATTAATTTACTAATAATTTTGTTAGTTAACTAACACCAAAAATTGCTATTTCAAAGGTTTTCAGAAACGTTGTTTATATGATATGATTGTAAAGTACGAACAAAAGTAAAAAAAGAGGAAACTTATTCTACTTTGTATACCACAAAAATATTGAATTTTTCATATTAATTAAACAAAATTTAATATTCCTAACTACGTTGCTAATAATTAATTAAATAGTAGGGAGCATCAAGGAAAATATTTTTTGTTTCTTTATACCGAAAATTGAATTTGCAGTTTCTTGCAAATATTAAGCATTATTTAGATAATTACAGAGTAATTGAAAGTATTTATTAACTTTACATAATATTAAAATAATTAACTCAGCTTTATTTGCAGGAAAGTTGGCGAGTTGCTTGTACGTACTGTAAGGCCAGCACGCTCTCTTGCCTGTAAGTAGTAACTTTAACCTAAATTGATAACTTTATACAAAAAGTGAGTTTAAACCCACAATCGTAAAAAATAAGGACTTGTAATATAATTAAAATCTGTCATAACTTTGCCTGTTAATATTTCACTGCGTCACCATAATTAATGAAAAGAAGACAAGATTATTTTTTGAACCTTCTTCTGCAATATTTTAAATGGAAATACATTCGTTGGTTTTCAAGCGTTTTAGCTTTTAAAGTTGCAAACTTAATGCGGAGACATATTTTTGCTTACTGGGATCATTTGTAATTTAACTTTTTGTTATTGATCAGATTATCGTTGGTACCATGCGAGAGCTTTATCTAATACTCTAAAGCTCTCTTATAGTAGAAAAGCATTTGAAAAAGTCAATTTTTTCTTCTTTTGGTATTAGCTAAACATATTTTAATGCCCAACCTTAAACTCCTGTTGGAAACAGCTCTTAGTCCATAGCTAGATAAAACTTCTGATTCTTCTCCTGGTAAAAGTATCACAAATCGTCGGTTCAACAACAGCTAGGAGCTGGTGATTAGGGCAAATTCTCATTAAGTGTGAGCAAACTACTAAAAGTAAAACGGGCGGCTGGACCACCTGTAACGTCTCGGAGGCGTCGCGACGCACAGTATTTCGCGTCGGCCGATCACTCTGTCACGACTGATATATTTGGCGGCTGTTCAAAACCACCCTTAACGTTTAAAAAGGGGCCGTCCCAGCACTATTTTCGAGGGGTGGAGTTTTCTTCTTTATCTTTCGCGTCGCCCCGAATTGTGCTTTTATGGGGGCTGCCGCTCCGGACTCCCGGTTCTTTCAATTTTTCTTTTATTACATTATATGAGATGATGATGATGGGGGTCAGGATTTGAATGTAGCGTGTAGCAATAATAATTATTGCTATACGGGGGAGATTTTATACAAGGTGGTTTTGTATATTGTAATTGTGGAAGGGTATGAGTGAAAATCGATTGTTCTTATCAGTGATGGTCTGAATTTGCTTCTTGTTTGGATTTGTCAATAGGAATCTCTGGAGCCCAATACATACAATGAACCAATTGCTTGATCTTGCAAATCAAAAATCTTGCAAAAAAAGCAAGACCAAACTCGCTCATCAGTAAACACATAGACGGTGCCCGAAGTTGCGCAATGTATTATGTATATACAGTCTTACCACAATAAGAATATTAATAGATCAGAATAAGTAATGAGAGCAAGAATAAGATGGGAAAAGGCAAGAGTGCAATAATAAAAAAGTTAATAGAAACCTTTTTAAAAGCTTACCGAAGGTTTATTGGGTAAAACACAAGTTTTTCTCCTTTCATATAATGATGCTCTAGTGGGGTAAAATCAGGTGTTCGGGCTGGCCATGGTATTTCAAATAGGTACGTTCTTAAATCGTCTTATTCAAACCAAGCCGAAATATATTTAATTAGTTATTTTATTAACTGGAAGTTGGTGTTAACACCCATTTATAATTGTATGAGACACAAAATTGAATTGAAAGTAAACAATGTTCCTAATTTTTTTTCGTGTTAGATAAAGGTGTTGATTTCTTGGGGGATTCATTCCTTTGAAAACGAAAGGCTTTATGGTAAATTTTATATCACCTCTGACTTATCGATATATAATAAATTCAATAAACTAGTTGCTACAAAGTTCTACATTCATCATCACCAGTTAAATATTTAAGCACTGTGATTAAATTTTTCGATTTATTTGTGTGTTGATATTGTTTTTTGGTTTCGCGCTGATTTTTCGGAGATTTTTATTTTTCACTGTATATTTTATTTCACGGTTTCAAAATTTGTATGTATGATTAGTATCACTCTTTTAATTATTGCAATGTGTTTCATAACTTATTGGTATATGACGCACATATGATTTTTTACTTACAAGATTTCGGCCAAATCCACCTGTATTTAAAATGGGATTTTGTGTTCAAAAGTGTCTTTTAAGCCTTGGAGCTGTCAAAGTCTTGCTCATAAATAGTGGATGATAGAAACGCCATGTAAAGTAATACATAAAAATAAAAATACCATCAAAAAGAAGCAAGAGAAGTTAATAAAAGGACGAATTAATTAATAGAAAGCTGCTTTTGAATGAAAAGCATTGCATTGAATGACGGATAAAATAGAATTAGTTAAGCTGCAATCAAGAGCAATTACAAAATATTTAAGCTTCTTGCAAATATATTTAAAAATATAAAAATCATTATATTAACAAAGCAACAAATGAGCTCTATTATTTATTTACTGTATCGTCGCTTTTGCATATTAATATATTTACTCTTCAGATTGGTGTAAACCTTGAAAGTGTTAAAAGGTTTCGTCGGCTGCAATAAACGTCACTAAAACTGAAAATAAAAAGTATCCAGTTTTTCGACTTTGATTACAATTCAATACTGCAAAATAAAATTTTTTCTTAATTAATTATTGGCAGAGTTGTAAATTTTAAGTTATAATTATTTTGTTTGTAAAATTTTTTAGTTTACTATTAGAATTTCAAAAGGAAAAACGAATATTTTATACATGGGGGGTTCCAGCAGTAATGTCTAAATTATTGTAATGCAGCGGATTGTTTTTTGGAAAAAGGCAGCCGCTCGAAGCCGTCAATTTTTCTGTAAATTTTTCCATACCAAACTAAGCCGAATTTCTACTTCTCTCGTGGTTCCTACCAGGCCGTGGCATTTAAAATGATTGAGAAAATGTTGATAAATTTGTAAATCTTGCGCCTGAAAAAGAAGTAAAAAAATGAAGATTCAAATAATAAATTACAAACTTACTATTTTGTGTAGTTAAATATAGATCTTCTTGTGCACATGCAAATTAATTAAGGTGCGACCGGTTTCACATTAACTTTAACGAACCTTCGAAAATCACTTGATAAAATTAAATGTAAAGAAAGTTTCGTAAAGACGAATTATTGGAAGCAATGGGTAGATTAGAGACAATAAAAGACACTAACAGCCTGTGGAGATTATTTTTGGAAACTCATGTGTATTCACCCTCTCAAGAGAAAAAAAGCAGTAGTTATAAAAATTAAAAATCCTCTTTGAGCATCTGCACTGGACACCCAACTAGATCCTGTTAGATGGAAAAGAACCCACTAAAGGCACTTTAGCCGTTTAGAGTGAAATTGCGCAAAACCATGATTTATAATCGCATCAAAGAAAAATATGAAAAAGCAATTACAAAACCTTAAAATTCAATTTAGAATTTTTCCGCTGAATACCTAGACGAGACCTCCCGTTTAGCGCGGATACGGAACAACTTTATGGGGGCTTTATTTATAGCGTACGTCTAGGGCATGCTATTCTTCTTGCGCCCGGCCTGCTGCGGTAGCAGGGGTAATAAAACTCGAATAAAAGACGAAATAAAAACATAAGAGGCATATTTACAAAGGCGGGCCCGCTCGTGATGCATCGCCATTGGCCGGCCGCCCCGTGTTCCCCCTGAACCGCCCGTGACTCCCCTGCAACTGCCAAGTCTTGCACTAAATCAATGATTTTTTATAATGCCCCGGAATGAATTTCATTTTTGCCCGGGAGTCGGCCACACGCAAACCTGACCATTAATCAATCCAGGTCTCTATTCACGTTAAACTATAGAAGTAAATTATAATAAACATTATAACTATGGTTTTCACAGTTTTAATTTTGTTTGTAGCATTCGGAGTTTCAACACTTTACTTTCTTCTTAAACCCATTTTTGAAAATTATTATTTGTCTATGTCGCAGAAGATCTAACGAAACATTTGTTTCTTTCTAATGGACGTAAAACCGTCGATGAAGATTTTCCAAAAAAAGGTCAATAATCGCATCGAGTATAAATAATTGAAGAAGAACTGGAAAGTTGAAATCTACAATTAAAATATTTGATTAATTTTTTAACTCCTTTTATTGCTCTGCAACTTTGGGCATAGTTATGCATAATGTTCTAATAGGTTTTACCATTAGCATAATCATAAGAGTGCTTGGACATAGAACAATGTCATAAATTGCAATACCCCAGGCAACAAAATGTTTTAGCGAAAGTTTCCTGAACACTGTAAATGCCAGGTCCAGTTCGACCCTATCCTGCTATTATTTTAACTCCGTTATTTTACCCTTTTTTTTCGTTCAATCTATGTAAGCAAATCGAAAATTAGTCAACCGTTATAATGTTCGAAAAGCGCGAGCTCGCCTGCGTTTGATTTAATTTGTAATCATAAAAGAGGAACTAGTTTTTTTTTTCATTCTTTGCGCAGAACGGTTCTCCAATTAATTTTTAATCGACGCTGGAGTAGGCGCAACGGCATTCGCGGACTAATTTTTCATAATTGGTTTAGGAACAAGTCCATTGCCCTGAAAAATGTTTTTTGCGATTATGTGGATCAATGAATTCTCCTCTCGTCCAATCAGTGAATAATGGTGTTTTTTTTGTTTTTGTTGCTCCAATATACTTGAAAACGTTGATTTTCTGCAGCTAAATCACGTGGAAGTTATCCCAAAGAAAATTGAATCAATTTTTCATTGGTGTTCGATAGAATTTTCAACTAACATGCGTTTATTCAATGCCATAACTTCAATCAGCGTCTTGCATTTAAAGTCATTCTTTATTGGAATCGTCTGCCGCTGCTGAAATTCATGAAATATCTGCATAGGATGTTAAGTAAACATGCCTGATCTTCTTCTAGAACCGCGATCATAACTTTGCTTCAATGAAAGGCTAATAAAGTGTATTTTTCACCTCATCGCGTTTTGAGTGGATCTTTTCAGGCCACTGTTCTTCTTTATTCCATCTAAACAGTCAATACAATTTCTGAGGCACGTTCTCTATAACATTCATTAGACTCTAATGTAGTTGTGGTGCCAAAAAATCTAAAGTCAATTTTTACTGTTTTGTCRCATATTTTGTAATTTATTATATATTTCTTGTTTAAACTAKGTAACTGTTTAAACTGCTTTTGTTGCCTCCKCACAATTGGCATCTTTGTTTGCKAGYCACATTCCTTCTGAACTTCTGCCACTTGAAAATKTTGTTTTATTGATTRCGAGTAACAARCGCGCTTGCGAGCTTTGTGCTWAATTTSAAAATTAAATTTCTTTATAACCGCTACACAAATTTCGGTGATTTTTCAAAAAAAATGTTGCAAATGTGCCTTTTAACTGATCAACTGTTCCGAGGAACTTTATTTTCAGTACTTTCGTGGAGCGAAATTGCCGTTATAAAAATCGAAAAACTTCTGTAGTGCTTAACATTGTTCATTTGAAATTCAAAATTTTTTGAATAAAATGTGGCAAATGTGCTTTTCAACTGATCATCTTTCGAAGGTTCCAAGGAGTTTTATTTTCTAAGCTTTCGTGGAGCGAAATCGGTGTTATAAGAATCGGAAAACTTGTGTAGGGCTTAACGCTGTTCAATTTAAGTTCAAAAGTTAAAATATTCAGTTTTTTTCGCTGTAATTCTTATTTTTTTTAAWTGTCCTCCAAAGAATAGCGCATCTTTTCCTATATTGAGGCAATTTTTTAGTCGCGACTTGCAAAATGTTTCGGTTTTGGCAGATTTTAACCAGAACCATTTTATTCATGCAATATTTTGTAAATTGTTCGAATGAGATGTTGCAAATGTGCCTTCAACTTTTTCTAAACTTTTGAGGCTAGAAATCGG